CTCTCTCTCTCTCTCTCTCTCTCTCTCTCGCTCTCCCCGCCCCCCTTCAAATGAGTTTGAGGCACTCTTTTGATTTACTCACAAAGGAATCAAAGCCTGTTTGTTTTCTCACCAATTGGCTGACCAGGGGCGTGGTCATAGCTAGGGTGTCTCTGATCCTGTGGCTGACAGGAATGTGCCTTTGTGATGTGCCCTGCATTGAAAAAAAGCCTTCCTCAGCAGCATCAGCCAACAGCCATACCAGTGGCCTCTTTCCCTCCAGGTCCCTCCAGAGGGAGACCCGCTCTGCCTGAGCATTAACAGGGACCAACCCGAGACCTGACCTTCGGAGGAGCTTTCTGTTGGGCTGGTGACAGCCAGCAGGTGACGTCAGGCCCCAGCTATGTGGCTGGCAGGGCTCACAGCTCAGGGAAAAGGGGCTCTGCAGGCAGCCAGGCCCAGGAAGTCTTCTGCAGGCCCAGCCCTTTTCCTAATTAAGTGCAGACTCTGTTTTTGCTCTTAGAGCTCAAGGCCTCATTTCCCCCCCAAAACATGCTACAAATTATACCCATTTCTGCTGTGCAGGAGGCAGCTTTCAATTTCACATCTAAGGCGCTGTGAGAAGGGAGCCGGACATCCATGGGGCCTCTCCCATGAGCGGTGCCTGTCTGGCTGCTTCAGCAGGTCCTGGGGTCATCCTGAGAAGGAGGCACCTACATCTATTGTGGGTGAGGAAGGCAGGGCTGTGCCTGGGAGCCACCTGCCACCTGCCCCACACCACCCCAGCTCGTAGCCTGGAGCGCTATACTTGACTTCTGTGAGACCCCGAATTGTCTTTCTACCCTAACTCTCTGCTGCTGCCGCCACTGCCTCTGTGTCTTCTGGCCAGCCATGTGGGATTGGCACAGCAGGCTGGCCCTCCTCAGAGGCCCCCTGTGGCAGCATGGGCCTGATCTCTAAAACCACTGTCCCAGCCTGGCATGGTGGTACACACCTGTAATCCTAGCACTCAGGAGACTGAGACAGGAGGATTGCCACAAGTGTGAGCCAGCCTGAGCTACATAGCAAGACCTGTCTCAAAAAAACTTTAAAAAAATTGTTCTGTTCTGCGTGTGCTTGTTGGTTGGTTTCATTTATTTATTGTACTACTAGGGATGGAACCTAGGAGTGCTTTCCCACAAAGTTCACCCCTGGCCTTTAAAAAAAAAATTATTTTTGAGACAAGGTCTTGCTAAATTGCCCTGCCTGATTTCAAATTTACAATCCTCCCGCCTCAGCCTTCTGAGTAGCTGAGATCATAGGCATGTGCCATCACACCCATCTGTTTGTTTTTGTGAGACAGAGTTTTGCTCTTTTGCACAGGCTGACCTCGAACTCCTGGACACCAGTGATCCTTCTGCCTCAGTCTCCAGAGTGGCTGGGACTGCAGGTGTGCAACACCATGCCTGGCCTGTTTGGGGCTTTTTAACATTTGTATTAAAGCAAGCACTTCATCCTGTTGGTTCACCAATGCAAACATCATCCTGGTTTGAAAGGATAGCGAAAGTGCTGGACTTGATAGGTAAGGGGAAGGAGACTGGACCACAGGTCAGCAGGAGAGACTCATGGCAGGGAGGGAAGGATGTGACCCTCATTACTAGAAAGCTGGACCCTGGAGATGTGCAAGCCGCTAGTTTGGGACTCTGAATGGAATGTGGCCGTAGCCCAGTTGTGTGTCTTACACAACTCCTAAAGGAAGGACTTGCTGGTTTACCAAGGCACCTTCCAGCAGAGGCACTGTGGAGACTCTTCACTCAGGCCTGGATGTTTCTGTTCATATTGTTCAGGGTTTACAAATTCGGAAAACAGAGGGGCACAGCGTAACATGCAGAAGGTGGTGTCTTGTGGACATGGGCATTCACCTCGCCCTGCCCCCTCTCCACAGTCTGCTTTGAAAGCTGTCCTGGGAACCCCATGCCTCAGATTTGTTCTGAACAGGTGTCTGTGAATGCTGGCAAGGCTTTTATAGAATGGCAGCTGGGTTTCTGTCCTCTGAAAGAATCTGGTCCTGCCCTCTGTTTCTGTAACCTTTGGAGGACATAGCTCTGAGTGAGGGCACAGGAATTCTAATATAAGGCCTGAGTCACAGAACCTCTGCCCCACAGTCCAGGAAGTGAGAGGAGTTGGCTCCCCAGCTTAGTCTGCAGAGCGGGAGTGGCCACATCATCCTGTGTGAGCACTTGGATCCAGGTCTGTCTAGTCTGTGGAGCTGGTTCGAAGCTGTCTTCTTCAGAGGATGGTTCTTCAACCACAAAGAGAAGAATAGTGGGGAAAGAAGCTCAAAGCAAACCACTCTCCCACTCCCATTGTGCCTGTTTGCTAGAGCCGCTGTCCTTTCTAGCCCTTTTCTAAGATGGTAAAAGTGCCGAACAGTGACTCAGCCTCAAAGATGGAAAAGTCCACTGTGAAGAGTTATGTCCTGTCATGTAGAGTTGTAGTGCCATTTAGATGCCCTTTAGAGCACATCCACCCAGAACCCTGCCAGGCGAGGGTCCCAAGTTACCTGGCCTCTCAAGGCTGTCCTTCTGGAGAATGCAGTCCATGAGATTAAGACCCCGGCTAGCTCCCCAGCCGTGCTACCAGCTGTCCCTTCTTTCTGATGTCAGGGGGCTTCCTTGACAGACGGCTGCCCCCTCCCACTCCTAGGCACTCATGGGAGAACAAACCAGTGTTTTCACCACGAGTCTACACAGCATTCAGGTCCACACACAAACCCCTGGGCTCAGTTCCTTCACTGGCAGCGTGACAGACTCATGGCTGGTATCCCACGCAGGGAAGACCAGACAGACGGCTGTGACATTGTGGTCACCCCAGCTTTTGTTCCTCATTGGCAAATTTTCACAACATACCACGCTTGCTTGGGTCATATTCAACCAGTGGGAGAAATTCACCCCCAAACTTCTGGTAAAGAAATCTGCTCTTCGCAAAATTTATTGCAATATTATGGTTATTTGTTTTCATTTTAGTAAAGGATTTTTTCTTTGACTTGACATCAATTCCTGTTTTCAAGCCTTGCTTCAAGAAAGACAAAATTTTCTCCAACTCCAAAACTGTTAGTAATCCTAAATTCTCTCTCATTCACACTACCCATCACAGCTATCAAGAGTGATGTGAAACAGCCTAAAGTCAATGATGAAAAACAAAATGTTAGTTTTTCTTTCCTTATTTGGTATATTCCAAAATCTGTATTTTCTCCAAAGAGCATTTTAATTATTGAAAATGACATCTTCTTAAACTCAGTTCTTACGTACTTCAAAGAGCAGAGCTGGGGATTTAGCTAATGGCACCATGCCTGCTTCTCAAGCTCAAGGTCCTGAGTTCGATCCCCAGTACCAAAAAAAAAGACCACATCAATTTGTGATTCCAAGTGGGGTTTTTTGTTGTTTGGTTGGTTTTGTTATTTGAGATTCTGGGGATTGAACCCAGGGACTTTGCACTGAGCTACATCCCCAGTTTGTTTGTTTATTTATTTTCATTCATTCATTCATTTACAAGGTCTTGCTAAGTAGCTAATTTACCCAGGCAGGGCATGAGTTTTCGGTCCTCCTGCCTCAGCTTCCTCAAATGCTGAGATTATAGATGTCTACCACTATACCTGGCATGGTTTTTTTTTTTTTTGGTACCGGATATCGAACTTGGGTCCTTGCATTTGCGCAGCGAAACCACTGAGCTAAATCCCCGGCCCGGCATGTTTTATTTTAATAGAGAAGTGATAGTGAAAATGTGGCTAGACAACAGGGAATAGAATGTGTATTAAAAAGAGTATTGAGCCTGGTGTGGTGGCTCAGCTACTCAAGAAGCTAAGGCAGGAGTATTGCATAAGCCCAGGAGTTCAAAGCCAGCCTGGGCAACAGAGTGAGACCCTTTTCCTCCCCCCACAAAAAGAGAGTGGATGTTGATGTGA